TGCGAGCACCTCTGAGAGAAAGCCGCCCTTGCGTTCTGGCCCGATGTCAGACGTCCAGTTTCTTCCCGTATGAGTCTGGGTCCCAGAGTCTCACCCAGAACTAGAGTTCAGAGCAGTGGGAGTTTGTGTCTCCCTCCCAGTTGAAAAAGACAGCAGTGTACCCAGTTGCCAGTCCTTTTCTGCAGGCACCTCTGTACCTCCGCACTTCACACCCGCACCTCCGCACCAGTCTCAGTGTGACTTCTCTTTCCTTCTAGTTGTACAAATCCCACGCAGCCAGCCTTCCCATGGTTCTGGATGATACCCAGTTTGTCTTTTAGTTGTAGTTTTGAAGTGATTGTGCGAGGCAGCAAGTTCAGGTGTTTACCCATGCCACCATCTTTGATTCCTCCTCTCCCTGTTTTTTCATGGTGTGAGAGTTAATTTCTTTTTAGTGCTGGGCAATATTTCAGTGCAGTGGCCACCCTTTCTTCTCTGACATCCTGAGGGTTAGGCTTTGTCACAGGGATGGAGGATGATGGTGCAGAACAGCCTCTGCCCCACAAAGCTCATGCTTTAAAGGGAAGAGATGAGCAATAAACATGTAATACATAATCAATCGAAGGTAGTGAGTGTTGTGGGGTCGAATCCTGGGTTCAAAATAAGACCACCAGAGGCTGATGATTAATTTTAAAAAGCAGGCAAACCGGGAATAGTTTGGCTCAATGGATAGAGCGTCAGCTTGGGGACTGAAGGGTCCTGGGTTCAATTCCGGTCAAGGGCATGTACCTTGGTTGCGGCCATATCCCCAGTGGGGGGTGTGCAAGAGGCAGCTGATTGATGACTCTCTCTCATAGATGTTCCTAACTATCTCTCTCCCTTCCTCTCTGTACAAAATCAATAAAATATATTTTAAAAATAAATAAATAAAAATAAATAAATAAAAATAAATTAAAAAAAAAAGCAGGCAAGGATTTATTGAAACATCTGGCCAGGACAGCCGCGAGAACACCACACACAGGTGGACCCTATACAACTCTACCACTTTAGGGGCAGGTAGTTATTTTTAAAGGTTCTGAGAAGGAAAACCCCTATTTTGCAACAAACTGTTGTTTGGAATTTTCTGCTGTTCTTCCTAGATAAAATGTTGCTTTCTAGTTTGCTTTAGCCTGTTTGAAGAATGATGAAGATGAACTTAGCTGTCTGACCTTGTAGGCCAGAGACCAGATATGCCCACAATCTCAATACCATGCCAGGTGCACCTTCTTAATTGGATAGAACAGCATTGTTTTTCAAGGCCAGCATCAAGATAACCACTAAGTGCACATAGGGCTGGCTCTTTAATAAAAATAAATAAATAAATAAATAAATAAATAAATAAATAAATAAATAAATAAAGGAAGGAAGTTCTGCTTAGAATTTGAATTCATCCTCCCTAAGCTCATCGCGCGATGAACAAAGCAAGTATAAGTGAAGGTCGAAGTCAGAATAGTAGGGTTAAAATTCAAACAGCAGTTTTTACCCAAGTATGATTGCTATTATATTTCAGTGAGTGCTATGGAGAAATGAGCAGGCTGATGTGTTGGGGTGGAGTAGCTACTTTTGGTTGGGTGGTCAGGGAAGAACTTGCGGGGGGAGGGGGGTTGGGCTGAGGTGAATGATAAGAAGAATGTAGAGTGTCCCAGACAGAGGGGAGCTAAGTGGGAAGAGTTTAGGGACACTTTGGCATGCAGCAGGCACAGGGCCTGAGAGCAGAGGGAAGGAGAGGGAGGCAGCAGAAGGGTGGCAAGCACGGAGGGCTTAACCGGCCATGGAAAGACATGCAGGTAATGACTTCAAATGCCTGCCAATGCAGAGAGAGAATATTTGACTATAAGAATCTCATTTTTTTGTTGTTGTTAAATCTCACCCAAGGATATTTTCCCCATTGATTTTCAGACTGAGTGGAAGGGATGGGGAGAGACAGAGAGAGAAACATTGATGTGAGAGAGACACATTGATTGGTTTCCTCCCACATGTACCCAGAATGGGCTGGAATTGAACCTGCAACCAAGATACATGCCCTTGACTGGATTCAAACCAGAACTCTTCAGTCTGAAGTTCGACACTCCAACCACTGAGCCAAACTGGCTAGGAGCAAGAACCTAACGTTTGATAGAAGAGTGGAGTTTATTCTCGCTGCTGATTTTCCCAGTGGATTTCTTTCTGGATGGAGAAGTTGGAGTTAAGAAAATGAAGCAGGAGTGAAGGCTTGGGTTCTGACCCCACTTTATCGGTGATAATAATAACTAACATTTGTATTGTGATTTTCTTCCAAAAGTCATTGCATGTGGTTCTCAAACTGTCACTGTGAGGCAGGTATTAATGCCTCATTTTCAGGTAGAGGCAGGCTTGGAGGGACTGTGCCAACTCACATAGGTAGGATTAGATCAGCCTTGCTATTTGCCTGGTTTACCATGTCAAGTCCACGTTTCTTCTCTTGCTCCTACTGCATCCCTGGCTGGTGGATACTGGGAAGCCATTCCCTCTGGGCCTCAGCCCCGCCTCCCCGCATCTGGAGGATGTCCAGGTGATCTCTGAGATCCCTCCCAAATTCCAATTCCTCCCTCACTGATTTTAGAAACAGCTATAGCTTTAAAATGTACTAAAATAATGAGATTTTCTTTCTACTTGTAATTGCATAGCTCTTTCAAAATATGATTTAGATGCTCACAAATAAATCATGAAAATGTCCTTTCTTTTCAGATAATGCCTAGAAACAGAATACCTTGGAAAAGAGTTGGTTTTGTTAACCACAGGTACCTCAGAAAGGTTTTAAAAAATATATATTTTATTGATTTTTTACAGAGAGAAAGAGAGAGGGATAGAGAGTTAGAAACATCGATGAGAGAGAATCATCAATAAGCTGCCTCTTGCACACCGCCTACTAGGGATGTGCCCACAACCAAGGTACATGCCCTTGACCGGAATCAAACCCTGGACCCTTCAGTTCGCAGGCACAGGCTGAAGCTCTATCCACTGAGCCAACCAGCTTCAGCCAGAAAGATCTTTTTGCTCTTAATGCCATGAGAGGATTTTTCTCTGAGCTTATTGCAAAACTAAAGATATGGAAGAAAATATAGCAACTTTTTAAGATATGAAGGCATGTAGAGCAGAATAAAAGTAAATATGAACCTTTTAACCACCAAGTAGCTAAATAAATAAACCTTTCCAAGAGAAAGGCCAGGGCTGGGCTTCATTTACCTGGAAACTTTGCTTTGTGAGCAGTGTGCTCCTGGGCCGTGGGCTGCTCCTCCAGGGGCATTTCAGGTCCTCCCAGACTGCTTTTGTGGCCACACAGAAAACCCTGCTTTTGGTGTCTCATGAAACACTTCACACAGAAAACTGTTTTTGCAGTCTTAGGGAAGTTTTATTTTGCTAAAAAGTAGAATTAACATGGCAAGAAAAACCAAAACAAAAACCATGCCAAATAGTTTTGTGCACACTTCTAACACACTGCATTCCACTTCTGAAATCCTAAAATTAAAAAAGAAATCCCAAAGCAAAAGAAATAAAAAGTATGTGTTGAAAAGTTAACATTAGAAAAGCTAGATTCCTAACCCAAACACTGCAAGCCCAAGTCACTTTGTCGCAGCGTCAGTGTTTATAAGTGTTAAATAAATGTGAACAATACCAAGACGGAGACTGCAGACCCAAAGTGTGCTCCACACCAGGACTATCAGAAGCTGCTTAGTGTGTGGCTCTCCATGGTGTGAACCTGAAATAGACTCAGCCTTCACACGGAGGCCACACCAACCCTAGAAACGCCAAGAAACCGAGTTCGAAACCACTCCTTCCCTGCTGCCCCGAAAAACTTTCTGTTTTCTGTTCTGATAAATAAGAGTTCCTCAGAATCTACACTAGCTCTGAGGTGTAGAAGCGCTGATTCAATAAAGGATTCTGACGTTCTCCTTTGAGATATTTCACTTTTTCATGATCACACACTTTTTAAATCGTCACACGTGTGTGTGTGTGTGTGTGTGTGTGTGTGTGTGTGTGTGTCTGTGTGTGTGTGTACCATTTTAAAAGATATTCTTGGAAACAATTCTAGGGAACTTTTTCCTCTCCTCAGGATCAGTCCCTGATAATTTAATTGTCTTGTTTTTATTTTGCTTTGTTTTCTTTTAGAGAAAGCTGCCTAGAGCCTTTCTGTACAGTTTGCAACTTCCTTGTCCCTGTGCCTTTGAACTTTCCAAAAATAATAGAATGCTCCAAGGTACTTGTTTGCAGCTCCTGCAAACCCTGCAGGCACGCCTGTGCCTGGGCTTTCTCACTGAGTAAGGGCCTGGCAGGAGCTCACTTATGTCCCTCCTGGTGCGGGAGGGGGGGGGGGGTGTTCACCTGGGAATGAAACACGGGCTTCCCGCGAGGGACACACCTGGCTGCTTCTCCCTCTCGGGAAGAAGGGACATAATCGGTAGCAAGTCCCCGGAAGCCCAGGGCTCTGGAGGTCTAAGGCATTCACACGGATGGTGTCAGTGTGCAGAGGGCCCTCGGTGCGGGCGGGAGAGCGGAGCTGAGGGCGGCGGCAGCCTCAACGGTGGCACTGCCCGGTGAGGACAGACCCGGTGAGGACAGACCCCGGTGAGGACAGACCCGGTGAGGACAGACCCCGGTGAGGACAGACAGACCCCGGTGAGGACAGACCCCGGTGAGGACAGACCCGGTGAGGACAGACCCGGTGAGGACAGACCCCGGGGAGGACAGACCCAGTGAGGACAGACCCCGGGGAGGACAGACCCGGTGAGGACCCACCGGAGCCCGGAGCGGGCTTGGTCCTCCGCCCGCGGGGCTCTGCGGCCCAGGAGGAGCCCCCGCGGGAAAGTTGCTGTTTTGACCTCGGAACTGTGTCTAAGGGCCGCAGTGCAGTCCGGCCTGGGGTGGTCGCCGCCGCGGCTCAGGAATCTACGCGCACACACACCCTCGCAGAGACTAGCGTTCGCAGAAGAGCTCGGCTGTCCGTGCGGCGGCCCGCCGGGCCGCTACACGTTGATGGCGTGCGCGTGCTTCTTGCACAGGGGCTTGTCCTTCTTGGAGTAGAACGGCTGCCCCTCCAGGTTCACGTGGCACACCTGCGCGGAGAACACAACGTGACCCCTCTAGGCAACGCGCCGCCCGGGCGGATGGGCGAGGCACAGCCTTTCTCAACTGCAAAGCCTTAAGTACCGAAGCAGACTGGATGGGTTAAACCATATAAACTGAAGACTTCCAAAGAGGAACACGAAATAAAACTCAAATTAAATTAAATTAATTAAATTAAATTAATGGAATAGAGAACTGTACGTGCTGAAGACCAATCGGCACTCCACAAATTCACAAGGAACCAATACTAGTTCATAAGTCAGTATCTACAGAGAAGGTAACATCTAGAAAAATACCGTCAGTAAACTAGCAAACACGTCAGAAAATCATCCTCACTCACAATTAAAGGAAAAAGAAAAGCTCCACAAATACCATGGAGAACTCTTACTTTAGTAAAATAAAAAACCAAAAAGACAAAAATCCCTCAATAGCTTGTCATCTTTAACCTTATATACCTCTAGCCAAAGAGTGAAAAAAAGTAATTAAGAGTCCGCACTGCCGCCCTGGCCAGGTGGGTCAGTGGATAGAACGTCAGCCTGCAGACCAAAGGTTCTGGGTTTGATTCCAGTCAGGGCAGGTACCAGGGGAAAGTTAGTTATTGTGCAGGCTCCTCCCCTGTCTGGGCTCTGGTCAGGACTCATGCAGGAGGCAACCAATCCATGTGTTTCTCTCACATCATTGTTTCTCTCTGTCTTTCCTTCTCTCTTCCATCCTCCCTAAAAATCCAAAGGAAAAATATCCTCAGGTGAGGATTAACAAAAAACAAAAACAATACAAAGAAAAAAAGTCTGCACTGCCCAATGGGATCCGGCCTCCTGTGGCTTCCAGTGGCTGCCTGGGTGTGAGCAGGGGGGTGGGGGTAAAGGGTGGGGGGGGGGGGCTAGTACAGAAGAGGATCCAGCCCTGCACCCCAGCGGCAGGCCCTGCACAACTTGGTTTGGCAGAAACTAGCATACAGACAAGAAAGCAACCTGTGCGCAACTAAAAAGAGTTTATGCTACATTTTCCCAACGGGAATGCCACCATGAAAAAGAGAAATCAAATATGGAAAAATGAGTGCAGGGAAATGTTATATGAAAAAAAGGCAAAACATTTCCCCATGATGGTGCCATGAGCTCAGTTTGAAGATGGAGATGTCCCGGAAAGAGGGGTGCGAGGTGAGGCCTGCAGAGGTGCTGAGGGCGAGCAGATGGCAGCATCTATGTGTGTGATCCATTCGTCTTCACAGAAGCCAGGGAGGGGCACGGTGTTCCCCATTTCACATGAAAAACTGAGGCTCAGAGAGCCGAGTGTCGTGGTTAAGCCACGGACCTAGTAAGCAGATCTGGGAGCCCGTGTCCAGATCTTCATGACTCTGATTCCAAGCTCATTTCCCCACAGCCACAGCAGAGAAGGGTTATGTTTACTTGAAATTATTCTGGGTTTACAAACTTGTGTAGAGGTAGCCTTCCAAGTTCTTTTATTTTTAATGTGTTTACTTCTACCACTCCTGCGAGCCAGCGTGTTTGGAGGTGTAAGAACTCGTTACTCATCCTTAGTCTGGTGTAACCGGTTAAACATTTGGCCTGGGAAGTCAGCTTACCTCAAATAGCATTAAGGCTTCTCACTCACTGTGTGACCTTTGGCAAATTCCTTAGCCTTTCTGAGCCTGTCTTTTCTTACATAGAAAATAGAAAATAACGATAATGTTTTCCAAAAGGAAACTTCATCATCAGCCACGGAGCAGAGAAGCCTGGCACTGCCTCAGGAGGAAGGACACCGAGAAAGAACGAGGAGGAGGAAGGGAGAGGGAGCCGCACCGAGGCCGGCTCCGTGTGTGTTCCGCATGAAGGTCTGATGATGGAGATTTATGTTCATTGTTTAGCAAAGTGCCTGCTCAGTTGTAGATGTAAGAATGTCCAAACCTATAGAGAAGCTTTATAAAGATTTATCTGAGCCAAACAGTAGATACATCTGGAAGCAAGATTTAGAAAAATGCTTCCAGCCCTCCAAGCTTTCAGACTACCAATATGTAGGCTGGCCCTGGGTGAGCAGTGATGCCAGTGTGTCAGAGCCAGCTGGAAGCCACATTGGCTGGGACTGGCCCAGCCTCAGAGAGGGCAATGAGGGTCCCTGATGGGAGTAGAACTGGGGCCATCTCCAGGACACTAGCATTGGGTGGAGCAATGCCGGTGGAGCTCCCGCATATGGGGAGGCACAGGATGGAGCAGTCATCCTCTGAGATGAACTGGGCTTGTGAGCATGTGCCCACCAAGAGAGTTTAAAGAAAAGTGGCATCCTGGTGGCCCTGCGTGCAAAGCTCTGATGTCACACTTAGGGTCCCGCAGCCCTGCCAGTGGGCTCGGGAAGACAACAACCTGGAAGTGTCTGAAGACATCCCAGGCGATGCAGTCATGTTGAGAGTAACCAGGCGCTTGTGGTGGCCTTGAGCTGCTGATGACAGTCTGGAGCCAAACCCAAGATGGTGGCAATCAAGATCCAACTGGAGATGGGTTTCATGGAGACAGAGGACAGCTCGGGAGTAAGGTGGCCAGGAGATGCCTGCCAACCCTGCCTGGCCTGCGAGCGGACTGGCTGCCAGTGAGAACTCGGGGATGAGTCAGGCTAGACAGGGAGTTGGGGGGTCTGAAGACCAAGAGATGAGCAGGGCCAGAACCTCAGAGGTGGTTCCCTTATGAGGTGAGTGTCTTGGGCCAGGAGGCTGCAGGCAGGATGCATGGTGGCTTCATGGAGGAGGGGTCTCCAGCCTACTCAGCACGGGGCACAGCAGGGAGGGCCCGCCCCCGCCCAGCCTCAGGGTCTAGGAGCATCGGCCTGGCTGGGAAGCAGCGGTGGCCATGAATAGCGCCGGCTGGAGGGGAAGGCAATGAAACAGGCCAGTGCAGCAGCCTGAGCACTGACCACAGAAGTTATGGCACCAGCGTCCCCTCCTGGTACCCACGCTGGTGAGGAGGGGCTGGAAACCAACTAAACTTGGAGGAAACAAGGGGCCAGGAAGACAGCCTTCCTCCAGTAAGGCCAGAGCCAAAACCTTTCCCTGGAACTCATGTGCCAAAGGCAGACAGGAGCTGAGCCCTCACCCTGGCCCACCTGTCTTCCTAAGCCTTCAGCATGTGCTTGGGACTCAGAAATGCTGTCTGGGCTGCTGTTGAATCGCTGGTGTATGCTAGCTTTGCTTTCTTTTCAAGATTCTAAATTCCTCACGGGGAAATTCCGGAATACTCGTGCTCCCATACTTGGTCATTGGAATTAGTCTAAAAGATGAGCCTCCTGAGATATAACTGCAGAAAACACCATCAGCTGGGGGAGCTAGTCCTGATCTTCCTTTCTTAGTGTGTGTGGTTTTTTTTTTAATTAAAAGAAAAACATATTCTCATTATAAGTGATTTGGAAAGCCGAAACTGGTTTGGCTCAGTGGATGGAGCGTCGGCCTGCGGACTGAAGGGTCCCGGGTTCGATTTCGGTAAGGGACATGTGCCTTGGTTGCAGGCACATCCCCATGGGAGGCGTGCTGGAGGCGGCTGATCGATGACTCTCTCTCATCAACATTTCTGACTCTGTTTCTCTCCCTTCCTCTCTGTAAAAAGTCAATAAAATATATTTTAAAAAATAAAAAGTGATTTGAAAAGAGAACCAAGGAAAACCCTCAAAGTTTTCCAATTAAAAGATTGTTTTCCAAAAATTCAAGCCATGTTCCACTTCGGTGTATCCTGACAGGACAGTGCGTGCCACACAGGCTGGTGGGGGGAGGACATGTGATTCTCCGTGAGAGGAAGGGCTCTGCCTGGCTCCTCGGCGGGTCCTCTGGCAGAGCCATGGATGGGTCTCTCACATTGGCCAGAACTCATTTGTAATCTCAGTCTGAACAGCCCTAAGCTTCACTGCTGTTTGGTTCTCCCTCCGGGGCTTGTGCTTGCTATCATGCCTCTCAGCCAAGCACAGTGGGCTCGAGAGAGCAGACCCACGCCCACTTTTGCCATGGCTCCCTCCCCATGTGACTCAGACCTCGTCAGCCTGCCCAGGAGAAGAGGCCTCTGTGCCTCTGTTTCCCTGGACCTTCTCCAACTCTCTGGGATGCAGACTTGTAGGCAGCATCTTAGGGTCACACAGCCATGGCTGGAATGGAAGGGTCAGAGAGCCATATTCTGTGCCTTGCTGGACTAGGGACAACCCCAGAGTCAGCATGTTTGTATCATTGTCCCTCTTAGGAGTGCAGGCCCTGATGCGTTTAAAGACTATAAAAGGCAACCAGAGAATCTGGGTGAAGGTCTGGAAAAGCAGTCCCCCCCTTTCATTTGTTGAAGTCCCAGCCCCCAGCTCACCCAGCGTAGGGGGCAGCAGTGATCTCGTTTGGAAATGGGGTTTGCAGATGCCATGAAGAGGTCAATTAAGAAGGTCATGCTGGAGTGCGTGGGCCCTTAATGCAGCAGGAAGAGGAGCAGCACCCAGAGGGGAATGCCACGAGGGCTCACAGTCATGTGATGATGGGGTTGGAGGCTACGGTTATGCAGTTAGAAGCCAAGCAACAGCGAGGACTGCAGGCAGGACCCAGGAGCTCAAGGAGAGAGCACGGCCCTGCTGAACCTTGGATATGGACTCCCAGCCCCAGAGCGGAGAGAGAATCTGCTTCTGCTGCTTTATGGGCCTTTGTTATGGTCGGCCCAGCAGACTACTACACAGTGAGTACAGTGCACCCACTAATTTGAGGGGGCAGTATGGAAATGAATTGTAAAACCTGACGTGTATAACAATAAACTTTATGACTTGGGTTGTCCTATGTCATAAGTTTATAAAAACGCTTCAAGTTTAAACTACACATCCCCAAAATTTACCTTGATCAGCTCTGATAAAAAGGAAAAAATAGTAGCGGCACATTAATTTTCCCAAATTAAGTTGGCTATTCCTGACTCTAATGCAGAAGTGAAATGTCAGCAGGCTCATTGCGGTGTCCCCTCCCCAGCCCAAAGCCCTGGGAAGGAGAATGCCAACCTCCCTGATGAAAATGACAGGGCCGTTCAGCAAAATACACGCACATGGTGAACAGTTAACTAGGGCTTATCTCTGGCAACTACACACCGAGAAGACGATTTAGGAAATGAAATGACATTCAATCCTACTTTCTAAAGGTTGTATCAAAAGAAACTGTATCTCAGCTTTTCACGGGACAGTCAATAAGCTCAATCTAGCGATCCCATGACAGTTTAGGGGAAGCTCTTGAATTGCTTCATCCTATCTGAGACAACGTATGGCACGGGAGCAGCTTCCTCTCTAAACTCGGCACAGCTAGCTCACTGCTCTCCCCACGAAGAACGATGCTGGGAGGCGGACCTGGGCTCTCTGTGGCCCTTAGGAAATGGACAGTCACAGAGCCATACTGGTCAACAAAAACTATTAGTAATAAGAGCTTTGTTCAACTGCAATGCACAAGGCACCATGGGATTTGCCAGCTTTCATAACAACAGAGTAGCAGCATGCCAGAGCTGGGAGGACGCCGAGTGTGGGTCTGGCCCTCTGGGTCCTGCGGCCCCTCCTCAGAAAGCCAGAGCCCTGGCGAAAACATACCGCACAGATGAAGCAGGTGTCATGCCAGGTATGTCCCAGGGCTTCGATGAACTTGTCCCCAGCCTCCACGGGGAAGTCGCAGCCGTGACACTTGGTGCTGAACAGAGTGATGTAGTCTGAAAGGAGAGGCAGAGTGAGGACCAGCATCCAGCGAGGAGGAGCCTCCCGGCCAGTGCCAGCCAGCCCCCGGCCAGGGCCAGGGCCGTGGGGGAGACAACTGGTTACTTCTCATCTTGCAGATAAAGCACTCAGTTACAAGATTATTTATTTTTTCCTTTCCAATAAGAACTGGAATCGTGCAGGCTGAGGCCCTGTGCCTGTTTGACTTGCACTTTTTCAAACTCTCATTCACTTTCTGCACTGCGCTTCTCCTCTGCCTCTGTTCCCTCTTACAGAAAAAGGAAAACATTCCTCAGCGACTCTGCTGATTTCGGGAGAATGAGAGCCCTTAACGTTTGTAAAGGCGATAGAATGTTCTCTGCTTTGTCCGTCTTGTTATTGGGCATTTGTTTTAATAGCAAATTTTCAATCCTGGAAATAATAACTGAGCTACTTTGTTGGGACACATACCCTTCCCCTCCCCACGCCAGACCCCCCTCCTCGCTGCCAAGGAGATAATAAAAACAAATATTATTTGTATAATGCTCTATAGCTTACAAGCATTCTCACATAGATGATACTATTTACTGGTATCTCAGTGTCAAGGTCTTTGTACCCCTAGCTCAGTGCCTGGTGCACATATGTGTTGAATGAATGAGTGAATGGACCAACCAATGAATCAATAAATCAATGAGTGAAATTAACCTTTGTGAAATCCCTCCAAGACTGAACTATCATTGTTTTTCATACCCTGTATTTAATGGGTTTATTGCTATTGTAAAAGGATTTCCATCCATCAAATCACATGCTCTGTGTTGAAAAATGGCTTAGTGCTTTATCAGACAACTAGAGGTTCAGTGCATGAAATTTGTGCATGGAGTGGGGTGGGGAGTCCGTGAGCCCTCTCGAAATCCAGGACCTTTTGGGAGATGTCCGACTGTGGGATAAGGCCTAAACCAGCAGTCAGACATCCCTCTTGCAATCCGGGAGTACTGGCTCCTAACTGCTTGCCTGCCTGCCTAATTGACCCTAACCACCCTGCCTGCCTGCCTGACCTCCCCTAACCACCTCTGTCTTCTTGCCTCATTGCCCATAACCACTCGCCTGCCTACCTGATTACTCCTAACCCCACTCACCTGCCTTCCTGATCACCCCTAACCACCTCTGCCTGCCTTATCACCCTAACCACCTCTGCCTGCCTGATCACCCCTAACCACCTCTGCCTGCCTGAGGGGGAAGGGAGAGAGGGGAAGGGGGAAGGAGGTCAGCGGAGGGGGAGGGGGAAGGGGGTCGGCAGAGGGGGAGGGGGAGGGGGAGGAGGGAGGGGAAAGGAGGCGGAGGGAAAGGGGAGGGGAGGGGGAGGGGCCAGCACAGAGCCTACCTCTCTCGCAGTAGGGCTCCCCGTCCTCCATGTGGAAGAGGCTGTTCCCGAAGGGCTTCTTGCAGGCAGCACAGAGGAAGCAGCCGGGGTGCCAGGTCTGCCGGAGGGCGTGCATCACCTCCTGCGGGGAAATCCGTGAGGCCGGGCGGGTGTGTGTGTGTGTGTGTGTGTGTGTGTGTCCTCCCCTGAGGGTGTGTGTGTGTGTGTGTCCTCCCCTGAGGGTGTGTGTGTGTGTGTGTCCTCCCCTGGCGGTGTGTGTGTGTGTGTGTGTCCTCCCCTGAGGGTGTGTGTGTGATTGTGTGTGTGTGTCCTCCCCTGAGGGTGTGTGTGTGTGTGTGTCCCTCCCCTGAGGGTGTGTGTGTGTGTGTCCTCCCCTGGCGGTGTGTGTGTGTGTGTCCTCCCCTGAGGGTGTGTGTGTGATTGTGTGTGTGTGTCCTCCCCTGAGGGTGTGTGTGTGTGTGTGTGCATCCTCCCTGAGGGTGTGTGTGTGTGTGTGTATGTGTGCGTGTCCTCCCCTGAGGGTGTGTGTGTTGTGTGTGTGTGTGCATCCTCCCCTGAGAGGGTGTGTGTGTGTGTGTGTGTCCTCCCCTGAGGGTGTGTGTGTGTCCTCCCCTGAGGGTGTGTGTGTGTCCTCCCCTGAGGGTGTGTGTGTGTGTGTGTGTGTGTGTGTGTGTCCTCCCCGGAGGGTGTGTGTGTGACTGTGTGTGTGTCCTCCCCTGAGGGTGTGTGTGTGTGTGTGTGCGTCCTCCCCGGAGGGTGTGTGTGTGTGTATATGTGTGCGCGTCCTCCCCTGAGGGTGTGTGTGTGTGTGTGTCTGTGTGCATCCTCCCCTGAGAGGGTGTGTGTGTGTGTGTGTGTGTCTGTGTGCATCCTCCCCTGAGAGGGTGTGTGTGTGTGTGTGTCCTCCCCTGAGGGTGTGTGTGTGTCCTCCCTTGAGGGTGTGTGTGTGTGTGTGTGTGTCCTCCCCTGAGGGTGTGTGGGTTGTGTGTGTCCTCCCCTTAGGGTGTGTGTGGGTGTGTGTGTGTGTGTCCTCCCCTGAGTGTGTGTGTGACTGTGTGTGTGTGCATCCTCCCCTGAGGGTGTGTGTGTGTGTGTGTGTTTCCTTCCCTGAGGGTGTGTGTGTGTGTGGTGTGTGTCCTCCCCTGAGTGTGTGTGTGTTTCCTTCCCTGAGGGTGTGTGTCTGTGTGTGTGGGTGTGTGTCCTCCCCTGAGGGTGTGTGTGTGTGTGTGTGTCCTCCCCTGAGTGTGTGTGTTACTGTGTGTGTTTGCATCCTCCCCTGAGGGTATGTGTGTGTGTGTGTGTTGTGTGTGTGCGCGTCCTCCCCTGAGGGGTGTGTGTGTGTGTGTGTGTGTTTGTGCGTTCCTCCCCTGAGTGTGTGTGTGTGTGTGTGTGTATCCTCCCCTGAGGGGGTGTGTGTCCTCCCCTGAGGGTGTGTTTGTGTGTGTGTGTATGTGTGTGTCCTCCCCTGAGGGGATGTGTGTGTGTTTGTGTGTGTGTGTCCCTCCCCTGAGGGTGTGTGTGTGTGTGTGTGTCCTCCCCTGAGGGGGTGTGTGACTTTGTGTGTGTGTGTGTGTGTGTCTGTGTGTGTGGGTGTGTGTCCTCCCCTGAGTGTGTGTGTGTGTGTGTGTCCTCCCCTGAGGGTGTGTGTGTGTCCTCCCCTGAGGGTGTGTGTGTCCTTCCCTGAGGGTGTGTTTGTGTGTGTGTGTATGTGTGTGTCCTCCCCTGAGGGGGTGTGTGTGTGTTTGTGTGTGTGTGTCCTCCCCTGAGGGGGTGTGTGACTTTGTGTGTGTGTGTGGGTGTGTGTTTGTGTTCGGTTTCGCCCCAGGGTGTGTTTGTGTGTGTGTGCGGTTTCGCCCTAGGGTGTGTGTGTGGGTGTGTGTGGGTCTGTGTCCTCCCCTGAGGGGTGTGTGTGTGTGTGTGTGTCCTCCCCTGAGTGTGTGTGTGTGTGTGTCCTCCCCTGAGGGTGTGTGTGTGTGTGTGTGCGTGTGTCCTCCCCTGAGGGTGTGTGTGTGTGTGTGTGTGTGTGTCCTCCCCTGAGTGTGTGTGTGTGTGTGTATCCTCCCCTGAGGGTGTGTGTGTGACTGTGTGTGTGTGTGTGTGTGTGTGCGGTTTCGCCCCAGGGTGTGTGTGTGGGTGTGTGTGTCCTCCCCTGAGGGTGTGTGTGTGACTGTGTGTGTGTGTGTGTCCTCCCCTGAGGGAGTGTGTGACTGTGTGTGTGTGTGTGTGTGTGTGCGGTTTCGCCCCAGGGTGTGTGTGTGTGTGTGTGTGTCCTCCCCTGAGTGTGTGTGTGTGTGTGTATCCTCCCCTGAGGGTGTGTGTGTGACTGTGTGTGTGTGTGTGTGTGTGTGCGGTTTCGCCCCAGGGTGTGTGTGTGGGTGTGTGTGTCCTCCCCTGAGGGTGTGTGTGTGTGACTGTGTGTGTGTGTGTGTGTGTCCTCCCCTGAGGGGGTGTGTGACTGTGTGTGTGTGTGTGTGTGCGGTTTCGCCCCAGGGTGTGTGTGTGTGTGTGTGTCCTCCCCTGAGGGGTGTGTGTGTGTGTGTGTGTGTCCTCCCATGAGGGTGTGTGTGTGTGTGTGTGTATCCTCCCCCGAGGGTGTGTGTGTGACTGTGTGTGTGTGTGTCCTCCCCTGAGGGGGTGTGTGACTGTGTGTGTGTGTGTGTGTGTGTGTGTGTGCGGTTTCGCCCCAGGGTGTGTGTGTGTGTGTGTGTGTGTGTGTGTCCTCCCATGAGGGTGTGTGTGTGTGTGTGTGTGTGTGTGTGTATCCTCCCCCGAGGGTGTGTGTGGTGACTGTGTGTGTGTGTGTGTGTCCTCCCCTGAGGGGGGGTGTGACTGTGTGTGTGTGTGTGTGTGTGTGCGGTTTCGCCCCAGGGTGTGTGTGTGTGTGTGTGTGTGTGTGTGTCCTCCCATGAGGGTGTGTGTGTTGTGTGTGTATGTGTGTGTAGGGGACCAGGTGGGGCAGGGCTCAGATCCCCGGCCCCCGAGCTGTGAGAGCCCTTCTGGCTCTCGGGAGGAGGAGGGAGGGAGGGGAGGGAGGGAGGGGGGGAGGGAGAGGAGGGAGGAGGGGGGAGGGAGGGAGGAGTGAGGGGGGAGGAGGGAGAGGAGGAAGGGGAGGAAGGAGGGAGAGAGGAGGTAGGAGGGAGGGGAGGAGGGGAGGAGGGAGGGAGAGAGGGGAGGAGGAGGAAGGGGAGGAAGGGGAGGAGGAGGGAGGAGGGGGAGTAGGAGGAAGGGGGAAGGAGAGGGAGGAGGGAGGAGGGAGGGAGGGAGGAGTGAGGAGGGAGGAGGGAGGAGGGAGGAGGGAGGAGGAATGGAGGGAGGAGGGAGGAGGAAGAGGAGGAAGAGGGAGGAGGAGGGAGGGAGGAGGGAGGAGGGAGGGGCTGTGGGAGGAGGTAGGCGGGGGAGGGAGGGAGGGGGGAGGAAAGAGGGAGGAGGGAGTGGCAGGGAGGTAGGAGGAAGGAGGGAGGAGGGAGGGGGCAAGGGCAGTGGCAGGAGGTAGGAGGGGAGGGAGGAAGGGGAGGCCGGTTGGGGCAAAGACCGCCAGGGGGGAGGCCACTGACCCCCATGATCTTGGCGTCGCACTTGGCGCAGACGGGCGGGCGAAGAACTGCTCGTAGCAGCGCTCGCAGTACACGGCGCCCTGCTCCTCCACGAAGCACACGTCGGCCAGCGAGGCGGCGCAGTGCGCGCAGGTGAACTCCTCCGGGTGCCAGGAGCGGCCCATGGCCACCAGGAAGGGGCCCCTGGGGCGGACGGCGCCTCTGAGCTCCCGGAGGCTGGAGGCGCCCGCGGAGCCCGGACACAGCCGCGGGCGGCCGCCTGCTCCCTCCTCCCCACCTCCTCCTCCACCTCCCCCACCTTCCCCCCCTCCTCCTCCCCCTCCCCCCTCCCCCTCCTCTCCCTCCTCCTCCACCTCTCCACCTCCTCCCCCTCCTCCCCACCTCCTCCTCCCACCTCCCCCTCTTCCCCCTCCTCCACCCCCCTCCCCCTCCCTCCCCACCTCCTCCTCCACCTCCCCTCTTCCCCCTCTCCACCTCCCCCACCTCCCCCCACCTCCCCCCACCTCCCCCTCCTCCCCACCCTCCTCCTCCACCTCCCCTCTTCCCCCTCCTCCACCTCCTCCCCTCCTCCCCACCTCCCCCTTCTCCCCCTCCACCCCCTCCCCCTCCTCCCCCTCCCCCCACCTCCTCCTCACCTCCCCTCTTCCCCCTCCTCCACCCCCTCCCCCTCCTCCCCACCTCCTCCTCCACCTCCCCCACCTTCATCTCCCCCACCTCCCCCCCACCTCCCCCCTCCACCCCCCTCCCCCCACCTCCCCCTCCTCCCCACCTCCTCCTCCACCTCCCCCCACCTCCACCTCCCCACCTCCCCCCACCTCCCCCTCCTCCCCACCTCCTCCTCCACCTCCCCCACCTTCATCTCCCCCACCTCCCCCCACCTCCCCCTCCACCCCCCTCCCCCCTCCCTCCCCCTCCTCCCCACCTCCCCTCCCACCTCCCCCACCTCCACCTCCCCCACCTCCCCCCACCTCCCCTCCTCCCCACCTCCTCCCTCCTCTCCCCCTCTTCCCCCTCCTCCACCTCCTCCCCCCTCCTCCACCTCCCCCCTCCTCGCCACCTCCTCCTCCACCTCCCCCACCTTCCCCCCTCCTCCTCCATCTCCCCCCTCCCCCCACCCACCTCCTCCCCCTTCTCCTCCTCCTCCTCCCCCCTCCCCCTCCTCTCCCTCCTCTCTCACCTCCCCCTCCTCTCCCTCCTCCCTATCCCCCTCAACTCCCCCTCCTCTCCCTCCTCCCTCTCCTCTCCCTTCTCCCCCACCTCCCTCTCCTCCCCCACCTCCTTCTCCTCCCCCTTCTCCCTAACCCCCTCCCTCACCTCCCCCACCACAATGGCTGCTTTGAGGACTGCCTGAGCCAAGGGGGCGGCCCTGGCGCAGACACCGCACTGGGGCTGCACACACTTCCTCACTGAACCTCCAGCTCCTCAGGGGATGGAAGCCACAGCTCAGAGGTCAGACTGATGCTGACCCGGAGGACCGGAGGCGGGTGACGTCCCGATGCCGGCCCTCCCGTTCCCGCCCACCACAGGGCGCAGCCGCAGCCAGCACCCAGCACCCAGCACCCAGCACCCAGCGCCCAGCACCCAGCACCCAGCGCCCAGCGCCCAGCACCCAGCACCCAGCGCCCAGCGCCCAGTGCCCAGCACCCAGCGCGGGCCACGCGGTCCTACCGGATGACGTTGTTGCAGTGGCCGCAGAGCGGAGTCCGGCTGCTGGCTGGGAAGCGCTCGGCCCCTCTGGAAGGTGCCCCTGGCGAGGGGGGCCCGTGGGGGCCCGGGCGTAGGCAGAGGGCCCTCCGGGCAGAGGCTGCTTGCTGAGAGAAGTGGTGCTCTTGCCAGGAGCAAACTTCTGAGAGAAGCTGTCGTCCGTGGCCCACGGGGGGCGGCTGGCAGGCTCAGCAGGACCCCTGCTGGGGGCCCCCGAGGGGGCCGGCTGCGGGCGTAGGCCGGTGCTGGGGAGGGCGAGTAGGTGGGGGCGGGCGAGGGGGTGTTGGCAGGGGCCGGGGAAGGAGTGTAGGCCGGGGCAGGTGAGGCGGTGTAGGGAGCTGGACTGTAACTGGCCCCCGAAGATGGGCTGTAGGTGTTTGCGGGCACTGCAAGCCGAAAAGATCCAGAGAAAACGTGTCAGGGTTCATTTCCCCCAGCTCCCTGCCCACCTCCCGGGAAGGGGCCTGCCGTGGAAGCAGGCGATTCCGCCTTCACACAGCCTGGGCTTCCCGGGCCGTCAGACAGCGGCCAGGCAACGGGAGCCTTCGAGCGGCCCGGAGATGTGACTGTCTCCTCTCCCTCTCCGGGTGAGGGCCATCTTGGCCTCGCCTGGAAGGCGCCCCCGGTGCTCTCTGACCCGTGAATGCCTGGCTACGTGTGTGCGGCCAGGCTTGGGCAAAGCAGGTGGCAGCAGGGCAGTTGGTTTTCGGGTCGGGCTCAGGACTACCTACAATCGTTGTCCTGAAAAGCATCTTGGCCTGACTGTGCTGGGGGACTGCATCTCGGTCTGATTAGGGTGCGGGTGGGGCTGGAAGAAGTCACTCAGGAAGGCTGGGTGGATGCTGAGGAGCCCTGGCACCTGTGCTCCCACCCTCTGTAGAAGGAGTGGGTCCCAGGAACCCGAGAGTCGCCGGAGCATGTGAGGACGCACAGCGGCACCTCAGGACCCCTCCAGCCCACTGAGAGCTGAGCCCTTTGGGGTGACAGCGCGGAGAGTGTTGCTATTACTTGCCCAG